CCCCAACACCGTTCATACCTCACCCAGCTGGATGCTCAGCTGAACACACTCAAGCATAAAATGCGAACCTCAAATCCTACAGGCCTTTGACCCGAGCCCTGATAAAACTGTCCATTATAGGGGGTGCCCAGCCAGGAACAAGCTGCTGCCACAAGCAAACGTGTCAGAAGAGGTTAATCAACATCCCGCTGTAACTTTAACACTATTAGTCAACACTAAACAGAGGTTTAAATTTTTTTCCTTCCTGAGATAAGCTGCAAGGCAGGGATCCTGCTGCCCGACACCCTCGCGCAGGACGCGCGACACACGGCAGCACACGCAGCTTTATTTTTATTAACTCGGCAGCGGTTGCAGCTGTCACCAAGACATACCAAATGGGGCAGGAGCGAGTGATCGGAAGTGGGGGTAGAGGATGGGGGGGGATCTGGTGCTTCTTTTAGGAAATACTTTGCGAGGATAAACAAATGATGCCTTTTCCCTACGCCGGTTCCCCGCGCGCGCTGTCTTGGAGCTCCAGGTCGCTGCAGTTGTTTAATTTTTACCCTTGAACACCAAGCCAGGCTCGCCGCGTGCGCCTCCTCCTTTCACCCGTGTAACTGTTAGTGTGCGCGGGGTCCCGCGGGTCTTACGTGTGGGTGTGGGTGTACACGGTTACGCTGTTGGGCTGCTCAGGTGCTGTCGGAGACCCTCTGACTCTTGGTGTGAGCAGACCCGGGCGGGAGGGGAGCCCGCCGCTCCCCTCGGGGCGGTCTCCTCGCAGAATTGCCCCTTGCAGGAACCGAGCTGCCGACACGCTCCGGGCCTCTCGGGGCAGTCCCGTGCTCACAAAACACGCCAAAAATCAGAAAGCGGTTTGTTTTCATCGCTTTGCAGCTCAAACTTTGAGGTAGATAACGATCATTATAATTGAGTGTGTAATAATACATTTTAATTAGTAGGCTTCGCACACTTCAAAGCCTTTAATAAAACGTATAGAACTTTAAATGATAGCATCCATAGGAAACGTAATAGCGCCTTTTGAAATAATTTCAGTACCCGGCAAAGTCAAGTCAACCACATCAGTCAACAAAACATAAATTTCCCTTGGCCTGAAGGATGGAACTGCTCAACTCTGGCACTCGGCTCGCGCGGTGCCTCTCACCTGCCCTCGTCTTCCGGAGGTGTTGCTGGTGATGAATAGCCCCGTAAACAGGAGTGGAAGCATCATCCAATATGTATTTTCATCACTTAGATTATATCAGTTTTAGGCTGTGCCAGTTAGTCATGAAAAGCCACTGAAGGGCATTATCTTCCTTTCAGGGCAGGGATTGCAGCATGTCTTGACAGCAGAAACCTTTATCGTAGGATTCATTTGCATTTACTGTAACCTCGGCGGGTTCCTGGGTTCTAACGAAGTTAAGGTACGTTCCTCGCCGTTAGGCGCACGGTATCGGAAGCGAGTGAGGAAATAAGTAGCAAGGCAGCAGTTCTGTCGAGGCTGCGTGTTCACCGGGGGAAGACATGATGGAGAGAAGCGGCGGCCATTCAGGAGGAGAACTTGGGACGCGAGGAGTTGATTTACGCATTAATTTCTGTCCTGACGTGTGCCTTGGGTCGCCTCCTCGAGCTTATTTGTAGGTCTCTTGAAGCCAGACCCTCATTTTTAGGCTTTAGATTTTCCTTCCTGGAGCGTCGGGAGGGGAGGAGGTGGTTTTGTGGCAGGTGGTGAAGAAAATTTAGGGGTCGATTAGTTCTTAACATGTGTTTTTTGGAAAGGATTGGGGTACCGGTGGTGTGATAACCCTACTGCAGCTAAATCTACAACAGCAGCAAATACAGACTGGCATAAAAACTGACAAAACCGTTGGCAAGAAGGATTGAAGAAAGTTGACAGGGCTGGTGCTGAAAGTGTCACCTGGGGCGTAGCTGGTGCAGAGCCCACCCCTGCCTCCGGGTGCGGGTGCCCTGAGGGCGCTCCCTGGTTGCCCTTGAACCCGATCCGGGGTCCCTCTGGGGGCTGGGGCAGGGATTCCCCGAGCCGAGGCTTGGCAGGGACTCGCTCTGCGTGCTGGGGCGTCTCTGTCCCCGCCTGCCAGGTGCGTGAGCCCCGAGTGAGGCGCCAGAGCTTGCGGGAGCCACCTTTGCGCTGAAATCCGTTAGTCGTAGCCTTTGGGAAGGTGCAAGGCCCGTCTTTACCGTTCGCAGACAACTTCCTCAGCTTTCATTCAGTGGCTGGTAGTCAGCTGTGACCGTGGGTTCCCCAGGGGAGTCGGCTGGGACTTTTAAAAAAAGCCATAAAATATCAGCACGCTAATGCCGCGCGCCGGTTCTTGGATTGATCCTCGCTGCCTGCGTGCTGGGGCTTTACCTCCTACGGTCACGTGTCGGTGCGTGTTCTCTCTGGAAAGGGTGAATAAAGCTTTAAGGGAGGATTCCTGAAGCTGGCTGTTATCCCTTAGGGTTAGGATAGCTGTTATTTTTTTAATGACCCGACTT